TTTCACCAAAGTCAGGCACAGAGGAACTGTGAGAGGGGAGCAGAGTGCTGGTTCCTAGGGCTGCAGGCTGGCCACAGCACCACAACCACTCTGAATAACGTAATCTGACCCACTGAAGTGCAGAGCAAAGCCCAGCTTGCTTATTCCAGTGCTCTTTTACTAACTGATGCAGTATTAACATGAGGGTAGAACTCCTTCCTGTACATTATAAAAAAAAACAAACCAACTCTCTCATACCCCCACATGCCTTTCTCTGATTTAATTTCGTTCTATAAAACCCTCTGCTGTAAAATGAGCGTGGCAGATGTCTACCCTTCTGCAAAAAGATTATGTTCTGAAGCCGCACAGTAGCCTCGCTTTTCACGGCATGGCATTAATGATGTGGACTAAGCTTTGGGAATTGTATTTAAAAAAATACTCCAAATGGAAGTGGGTTATTCAATGGCTAGAGCACACCTGTATTTTTAATAGCTAACACATGTGTGTACAGGCATACAGAGATTTCTTTTCAATTCTTATTTTTCCTAGGTGTGAGTATATGTAGGCTGATAATTTCTTTTTTTTCTCTCCAGTTTGAAATAACCAGAACAAGATTTTTGATACATGCAAGCAGTATCCAGTGGTGTGGTTCCTTGGTTGCTTGCTGCAGGGATCTCCCTGCAGTAGGAAGTGCATGTCTTTCACTCAGAGTGAAACTGTGGGCCAAGCAGCCAGGGCTGACTGGTACAGTCTTTTGTCAGAGACAAGGTGTTAAGAGCAGCAACGTAGTGCCACCCACATCATCTTCACAAATCCTGCACATTTGTAGAATTTGGCCAGGATGTTTTCCAGGAAGCTAGGGACCAGGTTAGGAAAGCTAAGGCCCAGTTAGAATTAAAATGGGCTAGGGATGTGAAAGATGACAGGAAGGGATTCTGTAGGTACATTGAGAATAAAAGACAGGCTGGAAACAAAGTGGGCCCTCTCTGGAAGCTATCAGAACTGGCTACCCTGGATTTGGAGAAGGCTGAGGTTCTTAATGACATCTTTGCCTCAGTCTTCACTGGCAAATGCTCCGACCACACCATCAAGTCTTGGAAGACAGGTGCAGGGACTGTGAGAATGAGGACCCTAGGCCCACTGTAGGAGAGGATCTGGTCTGAGACCATCTTAAGAACCTGAATGTGCATAAGTCCATGGGACCTGATGAAATCCATCCATGGGTCCTGAAGGAGCTGGTGGATGAAGATTCTAAGCCGCTGTCCATCATATTTGTAAAAACATGCAGTCAGGTGAAGTTCCCGAGAACTGGAAAAGGGGAAAAATAACCCCATTTTCAAGAAGGGGAAAATGGATGATCCGGGGAATTACAGACCAGTCAGTCTCACCTCTGTGCCTGGCAAAATCATGCAGCAGATTCTCCTGGAAGGCATGCTAAGGCACATGAAAAACAACAAGGTGCTTGGTGACAGCCAGCATGGCTTCACTAAGGGGAAATCCTGCCTGACCAATTTGGTGGCCTTCTATGATGGGGCTACGGAACTGATGGACAGGGGTAGAGCAGTTGGTGTCATCTACCTGGACTTGTGCAAAGCGTTCAACACTGTCCCACATGATATCCTTGTCTCTAAATTGGAGAAACATCAATTTGATGGATGGACCACTCGGTGGATAAAGAACTGGCTGGATGGCCGCATGCAAAGAGCTGTGGTCAATGGCTCAATGTCCAGTTGAAGACCAGTAACAAGTGGTGTCCCTCAGGGATTGGTATTGGGACCAGTCGTTGACATGGACAGTGGGATTGAGTGTGCCCTCAGCAAGTTTGCCGATGACACCAAGCTGTGGGGTTCTGTTGATACGCTGGAGGGAAGGAATGCCATCCAGCGGGACCTTGACACACTTGTGAGGTGGGCAGATGCCAACCTCATGAAGGTCAACAATGCCAAGTGCAAGGTCCTACACCTGGGTCAGAGCAATCCCAGGCACAGCTACAGGCTGGGCAGAGAAGAGATTCAGAGCAGCCCTGTGGAGAAAGACTTGGGGGTGCTGGTCAATGAGAAAATGAACATGAGCCTACAGTGCGCACTCACAGCCCAGAAAGCCAACCGTATCCTGGGCTGCATCAAAAGGAGCATGACCAGCAGGTCGAAGGAGGTGATCCTGCCCCTTTACTCTGCTCTTGTGAGACCTCACCTGGAGTATTGTGTGCAGTTCTGGTGTCCTCAGCATAAAAACCCCATGGAACTGTTGGAACAATTCCAGAGGAGGGCCACGAGGATGATCAGGGGACTGGAGCACCTCCCATATGAAGACAGGCTGAGGAAGTTGGGGCTGTTCAGCCTGGAGAAGAGAAAGCTGCATGGAGACCTCATAGCAGCCTTCCAGTATCTGAAGGGATCCTATAGGGATGCTGGGGAGGGACTCTTCATTAGAGACTGTAGTGACAGGACAAGGGGTAACGGGTTAATACTTAGAATCATAGAATCATAGAATAGTTAGGGTTGGAAAGGACCTTAAGATCATCTAGTTCCAACCCCCCTGCAATGGGCAGGGACACCTCACACTAAACCATGTCACCCAAGGCTCTGTCGAGCTTGACCTTGGAACACTGCCAGGGATGGAGCATTCACAGCTTCCTTGGGCAACCCATTCCAGTGCCTCACCACCCTTACAGTAAAGAATTTCTTCCTTATATCCAGTCTAAACTTCCCCTGTTTAAGTTTTAATCCGTTACTCCTTGTCCTATCACTACAGTCCCTAATGAAGAGTCCCTCCCCCGGGTATACTTAAACAGGGAAAGTTTAGATTGGATATAAGGAGGAAGTTCTTTACTGAGAGGGTGGTGAGGTACTGGAATGGGTTGCCCAGGGAAGCTGTGAATGCTCCATCCCTGGCAGTGTTCAAGACCAGGTTGGACGAGGCCGTGGGTGATATGGTTTAGTGTGAGGTGTTCCTACCCATGGCAGTGTGATTGGAACTTGTTGTTCTTAAGGGCCTTTCCAACCCTAACTATTCTATGATTCTATGATTTTTTCCCTCAAGTATTTCCTCCCCCTCTGGCTATGATTTCAGCCTTAGATGGTGAAACCCTAATATTTTCAAGCAACTTTTGGAATTAAACACTTTCCAAGCAAATTATAGCAATGGATCAACTACTTGAATTGGAAAAATTTTGCAATCCTTGGACTCAGCTTGCAGGGTTTCTCTAACTTCTACTTATCTCCATTTGACAAGTATGTTTCCTTATTGTGATTCTGAGGATTCTGTGGTGTGCTTTATTTTGCTCTTAGAGAAGTTGTTGCTTTTTCACACTGTTGAGACAATGAGCTTCAGAGGAGGATGAAGTTATCTCTTAAGTCAGGTAACATATCCTTTCTGAAGGTGCTTTGGGGTCCCTGAAGCCAGAAGCAGCCCAGGAGAGCTGGATCACCAGGTCTGCTAAAGTGAACTTGAAGGACTTTTTTGACCTTTATCTGGAGAAAGAGAAAACAAAGCACAAATCCCAAATTGAAAAAAATATGATTGAAAAGTGAACTTAAAACTTTGGTTTCCAGTGGTATAAAATGCAAAAAACTTTCTGTTGACTTCTTCTCATAACTGAGAATCCCGTTATGTATACCAGTGTGCTTCAGGAATGGTGTTTTTTTCTGTATTTATCCTAACTAAGAGCCAGAGGAGAGAGATACAGTCAGTTCATAACTGCTTGATACAAATGTGTCCTGTGTAAGAGAAAAATAAATGTAATGAACTCACAGACAATGCAATTTCTCTTTAAATCCATTCATTTGTATGAAATGGAGGAAAGCCAAGTTTTCTTCATCCTGTAGTTTCTTTGTGATTCTGCAGGAATTTACCTAATTTTCATATGGACTAGATGACATGAAAATTAAAACCATGGTTTCTTATGTATTGGTTTTGTTTGTATTTCTGGGGCAATATTTTAATGCCCAGTAAAACATTCTTTTTCTGAATGCTGCTTTAGCATTTACAGGTGCTGTGGTGGACCTTGTTGATAGTGCCTCTTTAGATAAATTTCTGACTTTTACTGTCCACGTTTTTTTTTAAAGCTGACTTAGGCAGGAGGTGAGACAGCCCTAAAATGTGAATCCTGAGCTGCACAGTTTAATACATTAGTAACAGATTACACCACCTTGTGCCAAAAAAAAAAGAAAAAAATTATTTATTCTACTTTTGTTTAACATAAACTGAAATTAGTCCAGGAAACCTCTAATGAATAATGTAACTGAATAATAGTATTAATGAATATTTTAAACCACTTTGTATTTTGTAGAATCCAGTGTTCTGCAAGTATTATGTTGATGTAAGATTGGGGAATGTAGTCCCATATGTCAATGGAGCTGGCTAAAGCCATACAGCAGTGCTATATTCCACAAGTGGAAGAGACAGTTATTGGCTCCATAGTTTTTGTGTGTTGCATAAACTTTCAGTAACGTTTTCACTGCTATGAACGTTTCTGGAGATACCAAGGAAATATATAAAGTAAATGAAGCTCTAACATTTGAATAAAGATAATTATGACTAACTGATTAACTGTGTGGGGTGTATAACATATGGTGACAGAGTTGTTTGTTTTATCATCATTTTTACATACTGGATTGTTTATCTGTAGAAAACAGGCTGTGTTACTGCTGGTTCTGCTGGTAAGTCCATTTTAACAGCAGAGGCCTAAAGGGTGACCTGGTAGCTTTTTAGAAAATTTTTATGCAAGTCATCATTTTACCTCTACAAAGCCAAATAGTCTGAAGTGCTTTTATAATACAATGTTTGGGATAGAAGTTATTAAAGGTGGTCAGCAGCTCCCTTTGGAGAAATTGCTTTCAGTAGGCTCTAAAACCTTTGGTGGGAAAAAGTTAGCATCTGCATGCACTGTGCTATTGCCTTCATTTGAATGAGATGGTCTTGTTTTTAAGAGAGCTGCTACACTCTGTTCTTGCCAAGCTGAGTTCTAGGTAACCCAGGAAGACTTCCCAGGAAGCTGAGAGTGTGTTTCTTTGTTGCAGGGTATTACCAAAGGGAATCCAAGGCCCTTTGACTAAAAAATGTAAGCTGACCTGCAGTATGCAAGTGCAGGGGGTCAACCATTTGATGTGGGATATATCTTCAGGCCATTCAAGTAGCTTCATAGCTAAGTCTCAAAATGCAACTTCCTGCAGTTGTGACCCATGGACCTTTCAAGTGCAGTGGAAGACTTGATAGATCAATCATGCAGTTTCCAGGACTCTCAAGCATCATTTGCTTCTCAGCTGATTTTCTGGTAGTTGAACCAGGACAATCATCCAACATTTTTCTTGTGAAATAGAGTGTGTTTTATTAAAATCATATTTTGTAAAAATTTAATAAAGCAGCTCAAACTTTTTCAAGGCTAGACAATACTTTGAAAACTGCTTCCAAATCCCTGGCCTCAATATATGAATACTAATTGTATCTTATCTACTGTGGGTTATTGAAATCCCAACCAGTAGGAAAGCTAATCTGACATCTCCATTCACATACACCTTCTTTTGAGCCTCTTTACAATTCAGTCAGTGTTATCAATGATTAAATATCCCAGTGCCTACAGTTTTAACCTTTCTTTTTTTTTTTTTTTTTTAAAAATCCCTTAACTTTTCTTTTTGGTTGTTACTTTCAGTTAGTGAACAGCTCATTTTTGAGTAAAGACATTGTGAAATTCACTTAAAATGATTGTTTGAAGATTTTATTAAAAAAAAAAAATCTCTATAGACAGACTCTGTCCTTCATTACAACAATAGAAATCCTCATTGTCTTCAGCAGTATCACTCCAAATTTGCAGGAAGGTTAGAATCAAAACTAAAAGATGAAAAATAAATTTGAATGTGTGAGCCATCAACTGAGAACAGGACAGGTGTTTGTTTTCATTGTGAATAATTTTGCTCACAGCTAACATATAATTACTGAGACCATACTTAGGTAGGTGTGTGCAAACCTTGGCGAGATCAAAGCAGATGGACCCAGGTCACTGAAATTAGAATTAGATCCTATTAGTACAATAATGGTTAAAACTGTATGTATTTTGTTGTATTTTCCAGAGCTTGCATTTCATTAGTTTTGTGCAAGTTATTCCTGAATTGAGTAGTTCTTGTATAATTTCACTGTTTGTGTTCACCTTTAAATACATTTTAAAGTATAAGTGCAAACCAAAATTGCCCAAGCCACTCTCCATTTTATACTCCAATCAGAGATCCAGGCCTAGGACAATATCAAAGTATGTGCTAATATGATTGAAAAAAGTACTACAGTCCTTGGACCTTTGACCAACTGGTGTTTCCTTTGCAATGAAAAATGCAGCCAGGTATATATTTTCTGTTTATGTGAATTTTCTGGACTTTTTGTGCAACCTTGATTAATTTACTTGTTTTCAAGCACCCCTATTTTTATCACATGACAGCAAAGAGAGGAATTAAATTGAAGAGAGACCTTTTTGCTGAGACCTTTCAAAGGAACAGATACTTGACTCCTGCATAGGAAAGCAAGGTTTTCTGTTCCTTTGTGATGACTCACCATGTGTCAGATAATGGAATCCTATTAGTGCCGCCACAGGAGTATTAAGAAGGTTTCAGTGTTTTAGTGGAGAGAGGAAAAAATGAGGGCAAAGAGAATTTTGCTTAAAGAAAAATCAACTTTTGAGAAACACTAGATGAGGCCTTTGTTTCCATAAAGTTAACAGAGAAGATGAAGGCTGGCAAGTAGTTGAATTTGGACACCGTCCCCTGTGTGCGTAGAGACTGCTTGGAACTTGGAAGAACCTTGCTGTGAGTAATTTGAAATGCGTTAACTCACAGCAGTCCTGCTAATCTATAGGGATTTTGTTTGTTTGTTTGTTTTTTAGTATTTTCACTTCTTAACCAAAAAGCATCGAAGTCTGGGCTTCAGCCCAGTGTTTTAAGCTGAAAGAGTTTGCTTTATCTTTTATCAGATACAACGCTGCTCTGTTTCCGCAGGACTTCTCTCTTATATCTGCATGAGACTTGAGTCAGATTTTTACCTGTGTGGGGCCTGCAGTGGGTGCACAGTCAATATATTCAGCTGTGGGTATTTTTCTCTCTATGTTTATAGAAAAATTTACTGTTTTTCTTCAAGTCATAACTTCTGGAGTCATGCATTAACATGATAGTCTAAGTTTTCATTTAATGAAAGTAGTAAATTTTTCACCCTTGTCGTTTCCAAGTGGACATTAACTTTTAATGAATCAGTCATGCCACAGGACTACTTGTTTTGTAGATCTTGAGTAGTAAGAAAGTTTTGTAGACTTTGTAACTTTTGATCAGCCTAGGTCATGATATTTCAATATCAAGGCAACTGGTTCTGTACAAAACAAACTGGTAACCTAGAGCCTTGGTATAGAGTGTTGTACATCCATGTACCTGTGGCAGTGGGTGAATAGGATCTAAATTTAAAATGTTGAGAACAAGATATAGATTTGCATTTCTGTATCTGATACATGTACATACTTTTAAACTGCAGTGTACCATATATATTTGCATTTTACATGTCTAAGAAGCACACAGGCTTCAGCAGCCAGGTCTGAACTCAGAATTCCTAATAAGTTGGATAGGAGATGAATGCACAGTGCTCTTTCTTATCTTTTTATTCTGCCCCCCCCCCCCTCATTTATTACTGTATGTTTTGTTTTTTGTTTAAATATAATGATCACAGCACTGATTACCGGGCCAGGGCTCAGTGAAATGTTTTTAAGCATCCCAGGAAAATAAGGAAAAAAATACATTTCTTTTAAAACTAGTAACAATTTACAACAATTTTGTAAACTGGTGATTTGAAAATGGCTGATCACTGCAAAATATGAAAATTAAGATTGTTCTGCACCCCTCTCCCCCAAAAGGTATAGGAATTTTGCATTTAATTGTGATTTGACATGTTCAAAAGTGTGCGATTCAGACATTAGCTAGAGACATCACTGGAAGCAGATCTGACATGTTTCGTTACAGCTATTGAACTATTGCAAGCATGCCATTATGCTGTAATGAAAGGGGTCTTCTCCTTTTCTTTTCAACTTGCAGATCTGGGAGAGATACCATATGTCATTAGTTCCTGGCACAGATTCTGGGAAAAGGAGTTCTCCAAAGTGCTGTAATATATGCAAGGCCTTTCCCTTGAAAAAGACAAAGGAAATACATTTTCGTCCAGCTGAACCTTAATCTTTTACTAAAGTATATAATGGTTACAGATCACTTAAAATATAATTTCAATGACAATGCACTTTTTGGAGAATGATCCAGCTTAAGTTCCTGTTGACCGGAGAGGACAGGACTTGGCCCTATGTGATCTGTGTAAGCAAGTAACACAAATGCAATTCATTATCTTACATGTGTAATATTGCCTACTGAGTACCTCTAGTCCAGGGACGTCTAGATGTGGGAAACACCTGTACAGAATCTTAGACAGAAATTAAGCTCTTTGGATCTGCGGCTCTGCTGGAGCTTCATTCATCATTGTTCTATGTGGGGGAAAAAAGCTGTGCTTGTGAAAGTAACAAGTGAATCACAGTGGTGGTGTACTGGGCATCTGAGACTGGGGTCTGCCTTCCTTTAACCTTGCTGGCATTTCTACACTTGCTCCAACTTCAGTAATGTAAGTAAAGCAAGCGTTAAATTCTCTGATCTTCTTGAGAAATCATTCAAACACCTGATATTATAAAGTTGATTTAAAATTTATTTAATTGGTGAAGTATGCATGAAATAGATGAAACACCCCGGCAGTCAGTACCTAGAACTTAAAAAAAAAAAAAAAAGCAGATATCACATTGACGATATGAATTTATTTCTTTTCTGTTCAGTTCTCTGCTGCAAAATTAACTTCTGCAGGAAATACATATAGCAGTAACTTTCGGTTGATAAGGATCTATGATATGTTAATCTGTATTCAAGATTTTGGGTGAAAGTGCCTTTCAAAACTTTTGGCAGCTTCTCTCACCTCCAGATGCCACTGAAACACCTACTTACCTAGCTAGAGAATGAGTAACATCTGCAAATGCATCAGGTAGATTCAGCTGAGCGGGGATGCCTGCCAAAGAAACATCACGTCGTTTCAGCCAGTCGAAACCCAGCCAATCCAGATGGAACTTTGAAAAGTAACATAGAAAACCTTGAAATCTTAACAGATAATGAGATGAAAAGAGATGAGTTTGCGGCCATAGCCAATGAAATTTTATGTTGAGCTTGCTGGAAATGCTATTTTTGTTTCTGATGGGCAGCAGTTTCAGAAATGGGCAAATGCTGAGTTCTTCATGCATGCTCTCTATTAGAAGAAAAAATCGCCACTTTTGTAAATTCACAGCCTTTTAGGTTTTTGCTTTTTAGATTTTGGCGGTTTTTTTTGTTTCTTTTTTTGGGGGTGGGTGGGGGTGTGGGAGGGAGGAGGTGGGGGTTGGTTTTGTTGTTTTGTTTTGGTTTTGTTTTTTGACTAGAAGTAAAGCAGGATAGGGAGCAGCAGGATACTTAGTGCTCTCTATGAATCTGTTTGCAAGTCTTTTAGTATCAATAGTAGAGTTCCTGTTAATGTCAGTGGACTTTGGATCAGGCCCTTGATATAAAACCAGCCCAAAATCCAGAGGAAAGGACCATTTTTTCTAGTATTGCCTTCTGTGAGTATGGCCAATAGTGTGATTCTTAGGGAAGCCACATGCTGGAAGCCAAGACTTTAAAGAATTCCTGAGATGCAGGTTGCTACTGATCCAGCACATCATTAATACTTGATAGGCCTTTCTTCACATTAATTTGTTTAATCACTGTTGGAGTCAACTTATGTTTTGGCTTCAAGAGCATACTGTAGCACTGCCTTGCGCAGCTGAGTCCTGCATATTGATGCATTTTACATAACAGCCTGCTTCACAGAGGTCTGTATGGGTTCCAAAATCATATGAAAAGGTAAGGGCAGTTCACAGGCCACATGCAGAAATGTGGATGGGATTAGTTCAAGATGAATAAACACTGAAATAATGGTGAGTTTCTCATGGTCAGGATCACCAATCACCATCTAAAAAAAAATATTAAGGAATGATTTAAAGTATTTGCAAGGCAAAACCAGAATTCATTATTTGGCAATGGTAGCCCAGGATGGGTACAGGACCACAGTGTTCATTCTCATCTTTCTTTGGGGACTGGCTACTTTGAATGTTTGGGCTTTTTAGTTTTTGATTTTTTTTTTTAATTTATTTGTTTACTTGCTTTTTAAGAGAGAAGAAAAAGAAGGTAAAATAGGGGCAGGCATTTTATTATTTATAGCTACACTTTTGGTTAACAATGTGTCATTTAGGTGTCAATTTTCAGATACACATTTTCAGAAACATTGGAAAATTCAGCACTGTGGTACTGTATCATGGGGATTCGTTTGACTTGTGTTAGGATAAGAGGGAGTGCCTCTATTTGTATTAGCTGGAGGAGGATTGTGAGCTATTATCTTACTTTGTTATCTGAGCTAGGAGTGTACAAGGAAGTTTCTTCTACTAGTGGTTGAGCCGCTCTTCAGATAAAGCCTTCCACAGGATCCCTGTAGCCCTAATTAATCA